GAAGAGTGACAAAAATACTTCTGAACATTAGACTATCAGCTCTAGCTAGGATAGTGTACAGTTATTTCCTGACTCATTAAATCTGTTTTTTTTTAAAAAAATGAGCCTATTTATAAACAATGAAGACTAGATAAATTAATGTATAGGAAAATCCCATGCAGTTTGTTAGGAGCAAAAACTGCTGAATTCAATTAAACATGCAGAAGTCATTAATATATAGCTATATACCTATAACAGCTTAAGTGTAAAAAAAGTCTTTGTGCAATTTTGTATACTAGATGATATTAGATCTAAATGTATACATGTGGAATCATGAAGTTCCTATTATATTCCTATCAGGGAGAAAATATTTAGCCTTCTGAATTGTTTGTCTTGTAAGACTTCAGTGTAACTACGAAAAGAAACTCAATGCACTTTGGCCGTTGGCCAGCAATTAATTATATTGGAAACCACTTTGAAAATAGATCAAGCTTATTCAGCCATAATTTTCCTGGCTCAAGCAAACAACCAAAAATGTATCTTGCTGGACAGGCAGCTGGAGGACCAGCTTGGATTGTTGTGTTAGTCCTCAGATGATTTCCAATTGCTGGCCCCTATAATTCTAGCTCCAGATAAGAGACTAGGAACAAACATTAGGCAAGACTATTCATTTCACATGATTATGATCTTCCCATCAACCTCTGGCCACTTACTGAAGATAAAGAGTTGGCAACTGTACCTTCGGTTTGATCCAGTAAAACCATAAAAGAATCAGATGTGAGTGTGTAAGAAGGATGTGTTCCTTAGCCTTAGGAAAACAAGCAGAAAAACAAAATTGCAATGGTTCCCTCAAGGGCTAATGATTGCACTGGGAATTCTGGAGGTCTCGTTTTCCAATTCCTGACAAAGGAAAAACCAAATACAATGCTTTAATTGCAAGTTTGCACCGGAATCCTGAAATCAGTTTAGCTTCTCATGTTAAAAATAAAAATGTGTTTCTTGCGTTTCTTTTCCTTCTCCTAAAAATAGTTTTCTTAAAAAAAAAAAAAAAGTGACTCAGGTCATTCAGTTGGAAGAAGAAACTTAAACTTTTTTTTTTTTTTTTGTAACTTTAAAAACAGAAGAATGGTCAATATTATAGCTTCCTCTTCAGATAGCACAGAAACCCCCCCCCCCAAAAAAAATAGGTTTGAAATATTTAGTTTGTCTTGACTTGACAAAAATATTTCTCTGTTTCAAAGAACCCACTTAAGCCCCTCATATTTCAAATGTTGTTTCTCTGATTTTCTAATTATAAACAATTAGCAACATTAAAAGTTAGACGTTTCAGAAAATTCTAGTATTAGAGTAATTGTAACTGATGTCATAGAACTCTTCTGTTTGCAAAGCAGAATATGTTTTAGAAATCAGGTCAATACATTTTAAAAACTTGTTAACCAAAAATATCCTCACAATATAACTGCCAATGTCAATTTCCCAGGTTACAGTATATTAGTTCTTCTGGATTTAGAATAAAAAAATTAAATGTGCTTCTGGACTGCATTTTTAAAATGTTTGTTTTAATTTTTTTTTTAAAAAAGTATGTTTTTCTATGAAAAATGTGTGAAACAATAATTGCACTTTAGGCCTTCCTTCTTTGCTTGTTTTTATTTTACAAGATTGAGGCACTTTGCTGATTGAATCAAGTATAAAAGATAAAAAATAAAGAGAAAGATAAAAGGGAACCAGTTTGATCTAGTGGTTAAGGCATCAGGCTAGAAAATGGGAGACGGGGGGTTCTGGTCCCATCTTAAGTATGAAAGACAATTGGGTGACTTTGGGCCAATCACACTCACTCAGCCCAATCACAAGGTTGTCATTGTGGGGAAAATAGGAAGAGGAAGGAATACTAGATATGTTTGCTACCTTAACTTGCTTATAAAAAATAATGGAGGGATAAATAAATAAATAAATAAATAAATAAATAAATAAGATATATAGAACTCAAAATCTAAAACTTATAGAAAAGCCACACCTTCCAATTCAAAGCACAATCTGAGATCTTTTGCAGCCTGAGGCAAAAGACAAAGTGGCACCAACTCATCCTAATCCATATATAGAAACTGACTAGACTGCTAGCTGAATGTCATGTCAAGATTGGTGACGCCACAACATTCACCATCACATCTGAGGACTTTGGTCTAGCCTGAAGAAGGCAAAGTAAAACCCAACACTCTTATTTCTCAACACTTTCAGTCAGTGTTTTTCTAAAAAAAAAAAAAAAAAGGTGCCGGAACTCACACACTTCATACAACCCACCTTGCCTACCCTACAAGGTTCCATCCAAAAAAGGTGCCGGAACTCAGTTCTGGGCATTCTATGAGAAAAAAAGCCCTGCTTTCAGTTATCACCCAACCACATTTTGCTGGTTGGTAGGCCCTGCCCTGACCAATCAACCTTGAACACTCTTCTTCCTCTTTCTGCTCAATATCCATCCTGGTAATGCAACCAGTTTCCAAGCTTTCTGCTTCCTCCAGTTGGTTTTCAGACACGCTCTGCTTTAAAACTCCTTTTCCCTCAGGCTGCCTATCGACTCTTGAGGGCCTCGGTTTTTGTTCACCATTTTGCTCATTTCTTGTTTTTATGGTTGAATTGTCTCCTTAATGGGGAAACAGCTTCAGGTTAAGGAGATGTTATTTCCTCTTGTTTTATTTGTATTCTCTCTGCCAGCGGCATAACTGGGATATGGCTGTTTGTTTCACAAAGCACCGTACATCTATTTCCTCGCAAGCCTTTGTGCAGAGCAGAGTATATTCAGCATGGTCACTGCCCTTGTGACCTGGCTTAAGATTTTGTCCCAAATGACTCAAATGCAAAAGGGTAAAGTAGCAGGCATGAAAATGTCTTATCAAAGTGTCTTATCAACACTTATAGCCTGTAACTATAGCCAGAAGCATCCCTTGGTTAGTAAGCGAAATAATCTCTGGCCATCTGTGATTACCTGCGAGATGCAATCCCACTGTAGATTGTGATTAATTGGACAACACACAACTGCTCTCCCTATTACTGCACCTGGTGATGGAAGCTGTTATAATGGTAATAGTGCCAGTCCCCAGGGCTGGCAAGCTTTCCTGGCAAAACGTTTTTATATCCTTTTGCTTGATACAGATTTAGGCTGTAAAATCTGGGTGGCCATCCACTTCCTTGCAAGGAAATTGATGGAATGGAATCCCAACAGGTCCTTTCTTCCCCTTTGTAGAAGAGCAGGCAAAGTTGGGGGGGAGGAGGAGGGGCAGAGTTAAGTGCATCATTAAATTGATTTGCATTCCCACAAGCACACCAAATTCCACCCTTCCTGAATTGTTGACCCTTACCTAGCGCCAATTTAGTGTTGAGCTTTAGTTGACCAGATTCTTGTGTGTAGGTTTGAATAGATCTATTTTTTTTTATTTATTTGTATCCAGCCTTTATTATTTATACAAGTAACTGAAGGTGGGAAATACATCTAACACACTTTCCTCCTTTTTTTCCTCACAAGAACAACCCTGTGAGGTGGGTTGGGGGCTGAGAGAATTGACTGGCCCAAGATCATCCAGCTGACTTTCATGGCTAATCTTCTATGCTGCAACCTATAAGCGGTCCTGATTCTTTGTGCCTGACACACTTATTTGCAAGGAAGTTGATAAGACTAAATCTCAGTGGGTTATTTCTCCCCTCCGCAGCTCAAAATCATTGAATTCATCAAGTTGATCTAAAAATGCAAATTAAGGGAACTGGTTTCCAGTGAGGAATTATCTGTTCCATTTACAACCAGCAACTGTTCACAGAGACTTTAAGACAGGGTTCTTCAAACCTGGCCCTTTTATGACTTGTGGACTTCAACTCCCAGAATTCCTCAGCCAGGCATACTGGCTGAGGAATTCTGGGATTTGAAGTCCACAAGTCATAAAAGGGCCAAGTTCGAAGTCCCCTGCTTTAAGACTATGGCAGGTGGGAGCTTTGATTGAACACATCTGAAAGGGCCAGTTCAGATGAGGTGATCTCAACATTTCAGGCATAATGAGTATTATTATTTTAATTACAAATGTCAACTATGTGTAATAGCCGTTCAAATCTTTTCAATATGTAACTTTTCTTGCACGGATGAAGTAAGTCATGAGCAAAGTAAACAAACTGATAGTATGCAGCAGATCAGCAATTCTTTCTTTTCCACCAGCCAGCCTTACTTCATAACACAGCCGTACTACTGAGCCAACCAAGACAATATATAACTCATGCAATTAGCTGAACATTTTTAAAGGTAACTTTAGGTTCAGTGTGTTCAAAGCAACTATTCAGGAAAATTACAGCTTTCCCAAGCACTATGGAGTTTGCTGCCCTAACTTCTCCATTCTAAACTTCCACAGCTCAGCTTAGTAGAGCTAGGATAACAGTAAGTTAGCACTGTCTTCTGCTTTGGAAAGACCCCACAGTAGCAAAATCATCATCATGATGACAATCAACATCATCATTTATGATCCAATAAAACTTTTAACGTTCACTGAAAAAAGATCCGAATCCACTTGTAGGCTTGTTCTCTACCTTTTCCCAATATCGCCTTCCTTCCTTCCTTCCTTCCTTCCTTCCTTCCTTCCTTCCTTCCTTCCTTCCTTCCTTCCTCTCCCTTCCCTCCCTCTCTTCCTTCCTTTTTCTTTCTTTTCTTTCTTTCCTCTCTCTCTTTCTCTATGAGTGTCTTTCCAACACCATCTATAAAAGTCCTATACTAAGCTGCAGCAAGTCACACAAAAATACCAGGCATTTACCAGAAATTAAGTAAAATGTTCTGGTGTCATCTAAACTTTCTTATATAAAGTAACATAGAACCAGAGTGCAACTGTTTGCACCATTGTCCTGACCTCTCTCCAAACACTGAAACATTTATAAATTCCCCTTTGATCACTGATTCCAGATTTTTATCTCTGGGTCATCCAAATGGGTCTTTCTGTGCTTTGCCCCTCAGAAGTATCAGTGGTGGTCAGTATAAAACAACATAGGAACACAGATGTAATCAACGACTAAACATTTTTTATTTAAAAGAAAAATAAATACTGCAGAAACAATAACCAACCATACAAAGTGACCAACATTTGTTAAAAAGTGATGTTCTGCTGAAACAGTTAACTTATTTCTCATTTTACAATATTTAAATACGGAAAGCACTTGCCAGCTTTTTTGTTTGTTTAATACTGCCATAAGCATACCATTGCATCAATCAAAAGCGTTATCACGGTGGCAATAGATCTGGACCTTTTGTGTGGAAGTACTTCAAAAATGAAGCATTGGAGAAAACGCTGGCTTTTGACAAGCCAGAGAGATATTCTCAGCAGAGCTTTGCAGTGTCTTCCAAAGCGCAACAACATCTGCAAACTATTTTTGAGATTGGCCTAGTAGATGTAACAATAGTCATCAGCCAGGGAAAAGGAATTTGACAGAATCTGGGTCACCCGAGTAATGTTTAATGATCACTGTCTGGATATGCTTGCATTAGACCTTCAGGATTAATGCAATATCCTGTTTCCACATGGGACCTGTTAAGGCTCCAACATTCTTTGGGCTCCTCCCCCCATTTCCTCAGAGTGCTCATTACAAGTAAACAGAAATGTGTAATAAGAGACGGTCATCCATACGCAGCCATTTTTTTCTCTTTCTCTGAGATACATTTTAATGGAGCTAATTGGAGAAGGTTGGTTTATGTGCTAGTTGAAACAGAAAATAACCAGGACAGAACTGTAGAAAAGGTCATATAGCAAAACAGCACTTACTCTCTTACACACAGTGCTGTGGCTGACTTCCTTCACACTAAAGGAGCTGGTTAGGAGGGCAGTAAGACTAAGCTCCTTTATAGCTAACTCTTAGCACCATTTGTTGGAGGTTACTTTTCTGTCTATGCCATTCTTGTTGTATACAATTCCTGAAGAAGCCACTGAAATCCATCTTAATTTTCAGCCCATTATCCAAAATGATGGTCAACATGAAGGGAAAGATGTCGTATCCAAGATCTGCTCTGAAAAAGAGATTCTTAAAACCCTCTTCCTTATCCATCCGTGTTTTCACAATAATAGCTTCTGAACAATCTGAAAAAAAAAGTGTTTAATTTCTCCCTTCACTCTAATCCTCTCACACAACATATATTTTTAAAGTCTAAGAGCACTCTCCTCCAGAATAACTCTTCCTATTTTTAAGGTTCAACTAAAAGGCAAAGATATATTCTTTGGAAAAAACTAAAACTGCATCACAAGGCCAAAATTCACAATGAAAGGAGTAGGAAAATCTCGACTTTAGATCTGAGAGTATCGTTTAGAACGTAATCAGAATCAAAGTTGGTATTCAAAATAGACTGAAAAAAAAAGCTTCCTCCAGAACATCATTTTCTTGGATGCTACTTAATCCTTTAGCCATGTTAGCACATTCAAATAGCTTTGTTCATATTTGGTATTTCATCCAAGTAGCTTCAACAACCCTTCAGGATCCATCTTTTCCCACTGATTCCCTACATACTGACCCCTCAAGTACAGTTCTTGCTACTAAGGGGAAACGGTGGCCTTTAAGCATTGGCATGCCCACACAATAGGCCATTTTCACTGGGCACTTCTTTTTGAGTTGTCATCTATCCCCCCAAACACATGGTCCTTGGCCATCTTGAGTGAGAAACTTGAATCTTCACATCACTGTACAGCTCTTTGCTTTGTCCTTCCGCAGATCTGTGGTGACTGTGGTGAGTTCTGGCCGGCCTGGCATGTGTGAAATTCGTTTTGTTGCCCTCTGCGACTTGTTCCGCTTAACATTTTTATTAGTTTTGTTCACACAGGCTAGGGTCGCCACATGAAAAATGTCTCGTACGCTGTTTTCAGACTGCAAAGCTGAGCATTCAATATAAGTGGCTGCTCCAATCTGTTTGGCCATGTTTGCACCCTAGGAAGAAAAGACAAAAGAGAGGCAGATATTAGCCCTCAGTAAAAATCAGTTCAAATCTAAACAAAGTCATATTCTCTTTTCGATACTGCTTTTATATAGAACAATCAGGCACATAAAAACAGACTTCTACACCTAGATATAATTCAGATGTGTTAGGACTACAATTCCCAGAATCCCAACCAGCACAGCCAATTCTAGGAATTTTAACCTTGATGAATTTGCAGGACACTCAACCAATAAAGGCTGATTCTAGGTCTTATTGTCTACATTACAGCCTTAAATGATCTTTGACAGCAATTTAGATAGTGGAATTTTTAAGTAGTTTGATAGCCTGACAATAGTCCCATTGTTTTAAACAGCTCTTACTGAACCACACCTATTTCAAAGAGAGTACTCATGGAGAAGTAACAGAATCAGAGATAGGCAACAATCATCAGATCCTAAATTCTGGCTCAATGGTCTGAACATTTCATGTTCCTATGAGCAATCCTACAGTGAAGTGTCTGTGTGTGCTCTCATCAGCAGACCTTACGAAATGGATTAGATACGACCGGTAACAAGTAACAGCAAGGGGGAAAAGATCTAAAGATTCCTAACACAATTTTATATGATGGGTTCATATACGGATCCAACATAGCAGACAAAGACACATTTTTCTTCCCAAGTTGAGCAAATTGCTTTTAATTACTGTGGTACAGACCGCTCTTTATGGGGCAACCAATGTAGTCTTTGGGGTTTGGGCTGTCTGCTATCTTTCCCTCTAAATACAAGGTTGAATAGTTCAGCTAGTTTAGATTATGACCTATAGTTGTTGACTTAAAAAACCCTACTGGCTTCAAAAGATGAAGCAAGCCACTCAAATGTGGTGAAGTTAATCCACTTTCTCTGTTCTCTTAAAGGAATAGGGTAGAGCTCCTTGAAATAAGATTCTGGACAGTAGATGGCATCTTTTTTTCCACTGCTAGTCAAGACTGCTAAAACCTGTAATTTGACTCTAAAATCACCCATATATGCTTCAACATAGAAAAGTCTACTGTTATACTATGTAGGCAAAGAACAGTGTTTTCTAGAAGCCCTCAACTTTCACTAAGCCAACAATTAATAAACAAGATATATGTTGTCTATCAATCAGATTTATAATTTTATTCCTCTGAGCCATTTAGTGTCTTAAAGCATCCGGAAGAGATACAGGCCATGTAAAACTGAAAAAAAAAAAACAAATATTTGACTTTCCTGCTGGGGTACTAATGCTTATTTGCTCAGCCTGGGACAGGGGAAAAATGTTGTTCAACTAGAACTTAGAACAGTTTGCATATTCCAGTTGTACAAATACGGGTCTCACTACTGACGTTAGGAAATGTCTCCTGTACTTTGTCACTGACTGGAGAACTTTATGCCCAATGGAAATGATCTGGAAGGCATTCAGAAACCAAAGGTTGTTGGTTGCTTAGCTAATAAGAGCTGGAACTTTGAGTTGACTCTCGGAGCAAAGCTGCATAATTTTGTGCAAACTCAAACGTTTTTTGGGAGAAAAATAAATCAAGATAATTAAATGGCTTGTCTCATTACAACTGAAGGGGCAACCAGATAGCTTTTGGATTATCCATGACAATCAATCTGCAGTGAGAAAGTTAAATTCACCAGCACTAATGGGAAGCCACAGAGACGTATTTGTTTCATACGTTATTTTACAAAGCTACAATTTGGTGCCCACAAAAATGTAGTCCTCAAAGACATAAGATTGTGGTCATGCTGTACACCATGAAGCCCCGATTTAAGGCCATATGATTCTAGTTTGAAACTACTATCAAGATCACCCCACCCCTAAGAACCAAAAGACTCTTTCCCCATTTTATCACAGTATTCATCTATGTTGTAAACTGTAGGTATTTACTCCTATTTGTTCCTATAGATTCTGTATAGCAGGGGTGTCAAACTCGCCGCGTGTTGCGACGTATCGCAACTTTTTTTGCATTGCTGGAGCTGGGGTAAGTGCGGTCTCTGTATGATGCAACCGGCCCATGGGCCGGCAGTTTGACACCCCTGCTGTATAGGAATAAATTTGTTCATAAGACTCAATTGCAGCTCGATAAAATTTAGAAAGCAAACATTGTGTGAAAAAAAAATCCTGATTATTTTCTTGACAATTCAAATTGAACTAATTCCTGTTTCTTCAGGACAAAAATGGTTTCATCTGTAACTTGTTTTAAAAAATAGGGAAGATTCATGACATAAGCTCTGTCATTGTTTTGCTTCTCTGCTTTTAGCAGATATCTCTAAATATCGCCTTTGAGATGTAATCATTGGGGGAACGGGGGTGGATGCCAAAATTTCATGTGAAATTTTGTGAACATTCAGCACTGTCTAACAAGGTCTTGTAACAATATTGTCAAGATCTCATCAGATGTGGCAGACCTAAAAAGGTTGACAAATATCCTGAAGCTGTAGAATTTGAAGAAACCTCAAGACTGCAAGGCAACTATGTTGTTTTCCAGACATAGCTGGACTGCAGCTCCTAACTTCATCACCATCAACCATTTGGCTAGGGTTGATGTGATTTGGTGTTCAACAACAAACAGAAGTCCGCATATTGTAAACCAGTTGTATGCCAGCTGAAATCAATTTTTTTTTAAAAGTATAATTAGTGTTTTCAATGCAGTTTGAATCTATTCGCCTCGGGAAATGTTCTGGAAGTGGATTTTTTGACACTTGTGTTACATTAGATTTAGGATGATGCAGCTTTATAATAATATAAAAAAGTCCTTTGCCATCTTCGTGGGGGAGAACGATGGTAATTCCCAGCTTGAGACATTTGTTAGACAGACTCCCTACTTTTTTTGCTTCTTTAAAGAAAAACAGCCAGTTTCTGCCTTATTGCTTATCGTGACAAAAGGAAATACACATTCAGCTCACTCTTTCCACAAAAGGGAGGAGAACATTTTGAAGCCAAATGGGACTCCTGCCCGGTTTAGCAATTTAGCTCAAGCAACACAGAAAAGAAGGAGGAGGACAAAGCCCGCAGTTGTTGATAACATTTTCTGCAGATTATACTCTGAGTTGTCAAGGGGAAAAAAAAAACCCATTTCCTTTTGAAGAGGATTCTGTTCACACAAAAGCTCTTGCACGGAAGTCCTCAGAAGTTGTTGAGTAATTGGATTCTGGTAGGATACGTGTAAACACATTTCTGCTATTGTGCTTTCTTTATATACTGCAGAAGCCACAGCTTGCTTTAAACTCAACTTATGGAATAAGCTGCAATGGGTAGGTTCATATAAACCACCATGACTAGGTTTTACCTAACACGCTAATGAGTGTTGTCATAGCAACATGCAATCATTCATGCATAGACCATTCCTTTTTTCCTTTTTTTTTTTGAGCTTCACAATCTATGTAGCAATACTGGCATTGTTCAAGAAAAACCTTCCTACAAAATATCAACTTTCTGTATCATGATTTCCAGTCCAATGTGGAGCCTGTGCCATAGGACTATCTTCCTGGAGTCAATCCATTAGTCCATTTTGCTAACTTACTGGGCAACATTTCATTAGGAATGGTTGGGGAACCTGCCACTCAAATTTACTCCCCTCCAGGACTTTATTTTCAACCCCCACCCAGAATGAATGGAACCAAAATTGTAGACTTTCATTTGTGTTTAGGGGAAGTCTTTAAAAGAAACAGGGGTCCATATGCATGTCTGTTGCCCCAGACAGAACTCAAAGAAAATGTGCAGGCACCCAAATGAAAAAGACTGACCACTATTGCACCAATAGTTCAATATTTCTGTAGCCCTATCTGGACATACTACAAACTGAACCTGGGCTCTCTTAATGCAGGGTGAGCTCTGCAAGTAAGCAATGACTCTACAAGCACCACGAGTCAATAATTCATATTCTCTGGTTTCAAGAAATTCAACACAAGTTCTCAGTGGCCGTAGCAATTATGAATGGTGAAAATCAGTGTAGCGTATATGTCTGTCTTTGCTACACTGTACTACAAATAGTGATGGGAAGCATCAGTAGAAAAGTCTGCCCAAGTAACAAGCAAAATATGGAATCTTCAGAACTTACCTGATCATATGACACTGGTGTCTGTCTGTGATTGGACAACTCTACAAGCGTACTAACATCTGTGCGCAGATCAGACTTGCAGCCAACCAAAAGCATTTTGGTGTTGGGGCAAAATTCTTGAATTTCTCCTTTCCACTGTAAAAATAAGATATTCTTGATCTTACCAATGCCATAAGAACACAGTAGAGCATCTTGCTTCACTGAGAAGTTTAAAGTGTTAATCCCTATCATGATTAGCTGTATACTTGAAGTGCTATGTAACAGTAAAACATCCAATTAAAGTATTAAATAGTGTTGGATTGTAATCCTACACACACCCTTATCTGTGAGTAAAATCAGTCACAGGTAATAAAACTTTTTTTTCTGAGTAAACATGCATAGGATTGTAAGGTTCTGCTCTATTCTGGACTCAAATCGTAAATGTCTGCTTTGCGGTGTCAGGATGGACATTCAATAATGTTTGCATCACTTACATCATCTGCATTTGCAGATGCCTAGCATTTAAGTCCTTTTCTTCCAGTCAAATTTGTATGAATCCTCAAGTACGCATGGATTAGATTTCAACAGCTTTTTTCCCCACAGTCCAAGGTTCTCAACTACATTAAAGAGTGCAGAATTAGTACAATCCATGGACCATAAGTAGCTCCAGCATCCACAGGAGTGGACCGAGTTAAAAAAAAAAAAATCAAGAGTAATCACAGCATGGTGAACAAAGTCCTATCCCTTTGATAAATATATGCAAAAAGGCTGGAGCTTTATTTTATTTTTTTATTCAATTTATACGCCATCCATCTCATTATCTTGACTGACTCTGGGTGGTTTACAATAGTATACTACTGCTTTGCCAAAATCTTAATTTTAACATTTTTTTAACCTCTGGCCACAGATGTTGACCCTTAATATCTTTCTCTTATCATCCTCTTCCTCCTTTCCCTCCTTTTTTTTCCCCAATGTAAAATCTCCCAACCATGTCCAATGCCAAATAACAGCAGCAGATGGCTCTGAAGCAAATAGATCTTATAGGTCTAGAAACGTTTCACTCTATCTAAAAATCTACAGTGCTACCTTGGTGCTACTGTATATAAACAGGGAGCAAATACCACACCCACTAGAACTGATAATGCTATCTAGTTGGGTTATAAAATGTCTACAAGCAAACAACCAAGCTCAGAGATCACCAAAGACTCCACATCCAACATAGTAGAAAGATGTATGTGTATCCCAGGGGTCTTCAAACTTGGCCCTTTTATGACTTGTGGAGAATTCTGGGAGTAGAAGTCCACAAGTCATAAACGGGCCAAGTTTGAAGACCCCTGGTCTATGCTATTTACAGTTACTGTATATCTATATATCTTTACATATATACCACTATCACCACCACTGTGTTTCTATGCAGAGTTGTCTCTTATGGTTCACCAAAGATCAGAAGCCATCTTATGGAGAATGGGAGTTTCTGGCCTGTCAGGACAAGTCTTAAATTTCTGTAGTGCTGCTAATTTTAAACCCATCCAACTCCAGAGGGCTGAGGAAGAAAGGCTGGCAAGATGAGCCTCTGCATCCCCTACAGATAGTGGCCCAGCTGCCCTGCATTTGAGTCATCACATCAACCGACAGCACAGATCTAATCATGGGAGTTTCTGAGAGAACAAGTTTCAACTGCTCCCTAAATTTCGTGTACTGTAATCATTAAACTGTGGCCTTAACCTGTGTCATGCGCACACACAAAATGCCAGTCTGTACAGTATGAAAACTGACTTGCTTTTTAATATAAAGCAGCTTAGCAGCAAGCGCCTAGGTGTATATTTCCTTCCCACTGCAGAAAGGTGGAATGTGTTAAATCAGCAGCAGTTCTAGAAATGGGCTAGGTTACAAAATGTGTATCAGCAATGCAGCGAAAGAAAAAAAGAAGGCAATCCAATTTAGTCACAATTAACCACAGAAAACACGGTAACTGAATGATATACGAGGCCTGGGCAGTTGTTCTTTTAATATATGTAGAAGATCACAGGTGCTTTCCCCTACTTCTCCTTATGGCTGAAAGTTTGCTTAAAACTAGAGCATACCTAATATACACGAATATATTGCTTGTTCAAATCCCTTAGTTCCTGGGATTCCCATCTATTTATCTATGTTGTTGTTAGTTGCAAAGTTGTGTCCGACCCATCGCAACCCCATGGACAACGTTCCTCTAGGCCAATGGTTCTCAACCTTTTTAATGCCACGACCCCCAACCGGTCGTAAGTCGAGGACTACTCAACTGGTGCAGCACCATTTTGCAGAATGGGAGTTTTGGCAGGCTCAGCAGGGCAGAGACAGCCTGGACAATTCCTATTGGCTTTTGAAAGCCAATAGAATTAGACTCTATTCAAGAGAGTCTATTCTATTGGCTTTCAAAAGCCAATAGAATAAAAGGGAGTAGCTAAGGAAAAGGGGAAAAAAATGGCGGACTGCATTGTTTGGCGACCCCCGTGAAATGGTCGTTCGACCCCAAATGGGGTCCCGACCCACAGGTTGAGAACCACTGCTATAGGCCTTCCTGTCCTCTACCATTTTCTGGAGTCCATTTAAGCTCATGCCTACTGCTTCAGGGACTCCATCCAGCCACCTCATTCTCTGTCATCCCCTTCTTCTATCACCCTCAATCTTTCCCAGCATTAGGCTCTTCTCCAGTGAGTCCTTCCTTCTCGTTAGGTGGCCAAAGTATTTGAGTTTCAACTTCAGGATCTGGCCTTCTAAAGAGCAGTCAGGCTTGATCTCCTCTAGGACTGACCGGTTTGATCGCCTTGCAGTCCAGGGGACTATTTATCTGTAAGACCTACTGAACATAGTAGATTGCTTGATTACATTCCTAGTAAAGGTTATCTTCAATTGATGGATCCTAACTTATAGGAGTATCACGATTAGCACTAACATTTCTCTAAATATTTTTGTCTGGAAAGTAATGAGAAATCTACTTCCTATATAATAAAACAGGGAACAGAAACTTGGATGTTGTCAAACTGGCATTGCTCACCATACTGCTTGGTCCAGCAATATTTGGAGGATTAACAAGGGAACCACTGCAGCAATAGTAATGCGAAGGTGGATATCAATAACCATGTGTTTAAATTGTAATATGAAACCTTTACGCTACAGGTTAGAGTTAGAGGTTTATTTGGGATCTAGAGAGGCTGAAGGTAAAAACAGAAGCCAAGATACAGAAATTTGTCAAGGTTTCTCTGTAGGTCAGAATGTCACTTTGGAACCTGTACTTTTCGTATTTTTAACATCATTCACCTCTGTAATTGGAAGTAAATATGAAAGGGCCCTAGTTTTTTAAAAAAATCTATTGGAAGGGTGAAATATTAATCTCCCCACTCTGTTCCTCAGGGCAAAAGGGGAAGAAAAGGATTCTAACAAGGCCTTCATCATTTATGTTAAATGGCAGATTCTAGAATCAGTGTCTTCTGGAAGTCTCAAAGGTGCTTTTTTCTTCAAAAGGCAACGGAACTGTTTTTTTTTCCTTGAGGAAAAAAATGTTTCACTTCTCAGCCAAGAAGCTTCCTCAGTTCTGATGGCGAGGGGATGGAACTGAGGAAGCTTCTTGGACAAAAAACAATTTCTTTTTCTTCCTCAAGGATAAAAACAATCCAGTTTTCTTTTAAAGAAAAAAAAAAGCACCTTTGAGTCTTCCAGGTGATAACTGAATTTCAGCTTCCCCAAAAAGCACCTTTGATGCAATCATGACCTGGATGACTGAGAATCTCCACACACATATCTTCTGGAAGGACACGGGTTCTTAACCATTATCCTGTTACATCAAAAAAATATAGGGGAACAAAGGCATCCAAGAAAACTAGAAAATAATGTTTCATGTATGTCATTGGCTTGAGATCCTGCCTTCATGCAGTTTTACAAATGCTTGATTAGATATCCTCCTTCTCCTTATAAGTATCCCAGGAGAGGAGAATGTTCCATTATTTTTTTTAAGACTGGTGCTTCAAATAATGTTTCTGGTCCCTCCATAATTCAAAGAAATAAAGATGGATCCTTCTAATTTTAGTCCCTTTCAATTACATTTCTGGCTGCTTTACATGTCATTTCTTCATTAATCTTCAATCGTTTCAAACAATCGCTAAAAGCAGATATTCCTCAGTATGTTTTATTTATTGACATATCTCCAGTTGTTCCTAACATTTTATGAAATTTTAATACAGTGTTAGGATTAGACATCAAAATATAGAAAATTATGAATGAGAGAATAGTCAATTATTCATAATGTATGAGATGAGAAAGACGTCAGATCATATTGTAATGAATAAAGATAAAATTCTACCCAAATCTAACAGTGATTAATTTGCGGCCTAGGCGGAACACCTTCTTTGAGTCAACTAAATTATTTCAGCTTCTGAGTATTTAATTCATGGGTTATTTATTTGATTACTGTACAACCCCCCCCCCCCATTTGAACCAATGACTCTGGGTGGCATACATCATAACATATAAAAACAAATGTTATATTTAAGAGGGAAAGTTGAAGAAGCAATGCTTCATGCCTTTAAGAAGCAGCTGTAAGAAATTCATCATATTAGTCAATTAAAAAAGACATAGTTTGTAATTTGACTAATAATCAGATGTTAATTTCAGTGTTCTCCTCCTTTTGAGGGCAATGGCTCTTTTTGTTGTCAATAAATAGTTTAATAATAACATTGCCTTACACTAAATTTGAACCAATGGGAAACCTATTCTTCTTCAGCTATAGTCTATTGCAGTTCCTGTCAGCTTGGCCAATGGTGAGGATGCTGGGATTTTGACAATCTAGTTTTCCAAGATTCAAGTTATATGTTCTTCTACTGAGCTATGATTCCTAGATAGACAATCTAGTTTTCCAAGATTCAGATTATATGTTCTTCTACTGAGCTATGATTCCTAGATTGACAATCTAGTTTTCCAAGATTCAGATTATATGTTCTTTTGAGCTATGATTCCTAGATTGACAATCTAGTTTTCCAAGATTCAGATTATATGTTCTTTTACTGATCTACAATTCCTGGCCAACATATAGACCAAGAGATACATCCTTGATCCCTCTCAGCATTAAGCTAAATGTTTTAACTCAAACCCCAAGTAGAGAAACAAAAGTGGATGCCCAATGCTTATCATCAAGAGCTAAATATGCTTGGGAAAATGATGAACTATTCTTTTTTTTTTTGCAATCATCAGCCTAGAGTACGTATTTAAATATATAAAAATGAAAACAGTAGTGTTTCATAGATATGCACATTTCTAAAACACCTACCTTTTTCAATACGCTGTCAAGAGTTTCTGGACGGCTAATGTCAAAGCAAATTAAGACGGCATCAGAATCTGGATAGGAAAGTGGGCGGACATTATCATAATAAGGAGACCCTGCAGGAATAAATTAAATTAGGGTTATACAATAGAAAAAAAACACATAGGTATCACAAAATTATGTGCCCCAAGAGTTTTAATCGTGGCACATGACAATCATTTCTAATCGTGTGCTCCCCAAATGCACTAGACTTCAGCTCTGATGACAGTGCTAACAAGTGCAACCCGATCCAATCTGGAGAATACTAGATTAGAGAACTCTCATGTGTCACATGTACCGTGACTTCCTGATCCTCACCTTGAAGTTTCTATTATCCATTAGAATTAGCACAACCCCATATTCTCAATTAAAGGTCATATCATTTAGACTAGTTTCAGATGAAATGGTCACCATATTTTGAACATGTTTTACATTTACTAAGAGAGAAGGCATAATCACATAGGGTAACCAATGGGCATGCAGACCCTCTTCATCCCATATGGGTAAGTCTTATGGGTAAGCCATAAATGAAGGATGTGCAACATTGCTGCCCAGAAACAGCTCTCACATACAGTTTGGACGGGAAACAACAATTTGAAATTGTTCCCGTCTCCCCAGAGAATTAAAACATGATTAAGCTCACTAAAATCTCTTGCATTTATGCCCAGAGAGCCCAGGAGCTGTCTGCCTTCTTTTAAAAGGTCTACAGCTGTAGTCAAATGACGCACACCTCTAAGTTTCTGTTGCATGACTAATGTAGTTAGGTTCAGCTATTGTTACCTCAGCATTTTTCAGAACTTGATTGAATTCTAGATTTAAGCACTATATTAAGTTCACTTCAAGCCCGAACCCTAGAGAAATACACTCTTCTCAGTATTACTTTTGCCGTACCTGAGACGGCCAGTTCCAAAATGGGAAAATATATACAACGCTTTAGCCCAGGGGTAGGCAGCCTTGGCTTTTTTATGACTCATGGACTTCAACTCCCAGAATTCCTGAGCCAGCCATGCTGAGGGGAAAGGGAGAGGTTTCCAATCTGAGCCATGCTGGCTCAGGAATTCTGGGAGTTGAACTCCACGAGTCATAAAAGAGCCAAAGTTGCCTACCCCTGCTTTAGCCTATTCCCATAAAGCTGCTGATCCTTCCCAAGCATTATCTCCCTATTATATATCCAACTACTATAACTCTGCAGAGCTTTGCTGCTACAAAGAAGAGTGCTGGAGATCAGCTGGATGATTATTTAGTTATATCCTCTTTTCATGATGAATGACCATTCAGTCAGTGACCGTTCAACAGCCCTGAATGATGGGGACTTATGATGGGTCCCGCTGCAGCAGCCCGCAGTCATGTGTTTGCCATTGACAACCTTCATTGCCAGCTTCCAACAAAGTCAATAGGGAAGCTGGTAGGGGATCACAAATGGCGAGAGGCTGCAATAGGCTGCAACCACATGGGACTCAACTAGGACTGCCACAACGATCATCACAAGTTGGTGCCGACATGTGACGCTGCACTTTAAAACTCCCTTGCTTAAGTTACCAGTTGCTATCGTTAAGCAAAGCATTTTAATTGTAAAGCTCTATGCACTTACACCTTTAGCTTGTCACAACTTGCGACCCAATAATGCAACCACCAGAAACTCAATAAACCTCTCATTTATGTTCCCTGCCTATCATCTAGCCAGAAACAACATCTACAAATAGAGAAAAACTCTCTACGATCAAAGCTATCATTCACTTACCTTAGCATCCCATCTCTACAGAGTGGGCAACAAGAAGCTATGTATTTGGCCACAATGAAGTCACAAAGACAATAGGACTTTTCTGTTGAAGCTTGGTCGTTAGTCAATCGGCATACAGCTGGAAGGGTCCTTGGAGGTCTTCTAGTCCAACCCCCTGCTCAAGCAGGAGACCCGGTACCTATTTCAGATAGGTGGTTGTCTAATCTTTTTTTTTTTTTTTAAAAACCCTCCAGTGATGAAGCACCTATAGCTTCTGTTCCACTGGTTCATTGTCCTCATTGTTAAGACGTTTCTCCTTAATTCCAGGTTGCTTCTCTCTGTATATTTGACTCTATACAGCCATTATCATAACACTGATAGAATTATCAGACTGCCCACAGCTTTGCGGGTCACCAGATATGCAACAAGGGTATAACTAAGTCCCTACCCTAAGCAGTTATCTGGCCACAGCCGCCATAAGTCTGGCCTGCCTTTACATGTAACTATTAATTTTCTCCATCCTATTTGTAGTGTCACTTCCATCATATATCAGTAAAAGAAACCTTTGGAGCACCCTCCGTTTAATGACCTGCTCAAATCTATGATAGGTCATTAGAGGGAATTGGTCTTCTGGAATGCAGAATTCCACACTGCCCCCAGCCACACTGTCTTTGCGAGCAGTTCCCATGAAACTAAAAAGGCCTGCTAGAACAGGCTGTTTCTTGAAGAAGTCAATGGCTTAAGTATTTTTAAATGATTGACTGGTCTCTCTCCCAGGAATCTGAAGAATTAGTCTGCATCCTTAAAAACACATTTACTCCTGCTTATCATTGACCTGCCACAAAACAGGGCAGAAAAAAAAATGCTTTTGAAGAAACTCAATCAACCAGTAGAATAATCTATCCCATAGCTCTTTTAGACCTTTTTCTTTTCTTTTCTTTTAAAACAATGACATGGGGACTACGGCATATGCTCAGTCCTCGCTGGGCTAGATTTTATTTCCTGATGGTCAAAAAGAGGATCCTTGTCCCCCCCCCCCCCGATCATTTTTTTGTATAGCACACCCTAGGGCTCTTGAGAGCCAGCCAAATCTTAGCAGGGATGGTGCCGTGCTGGCTACCAAGGGGTCTTCTCTTGGCAGACATTCTCCATCAATGCACTGGATAATAGTTAGCTGCATACTGTTTGCTGGAAGATGACACGCAAACATTTGGTGATCAGATCGCATTTGGCTTTGGGGAACTAGTCATATTTTAAATCTGCAGCATGCTACAGACAAGCTAGGGGTTGTATAACATTATAATTTAGCAAGATAGAGAGCACTCTGCAAAATGCCCCCACCCCACCCCCTAAAACACCTTCTGCTGTTTCAGGGTGTTTAAGGTAAACAGCAAAAGGGACTCATCTTGGGGGGGGGGGGAAGGGGCAGCTGGACAGAAGGAAGGAATTTGAGGTATGCTGCTTTTGAAAGAAACAGGAACATATGGAGCAAAGCCCCGGCCAGGAAAAGCTGATCTGCAACTTCCTTTCAAGTTTAATTTCAGGCCTATGTATAAATTGGAGAAAGTTGCTCCTGGACATAGGCTAATATAAGGCACCTCTCCCATTCTAAGAATCAAATGCTCAACAAGCTATTTAAAGTTCTAGAGGAAGAAGGAATTCCCTTAGGTTTTTTTTGCACATGACCCAATTCCATTAGCCCTCATTCAAACAGTACATACAATGAGGACAGTCGATGGCATAATTTTCTCATCATTTCTGTAAGTTTTGGATTAGGAACCGAGAAAAAGATGAAGTCGGACATCTCAAATGGTCTTCTGTGTATTAATCGTGTCAATACCACAGCTAACATTTTACACAGGAACAATAAACCTTGAGTATCTCACTGCTGCTTCACTGACTCCTGCGTGAACCTGGCAACACGGCCAAGCACTTCATAGGCAGAACAGTTACTACTGCAATAGGGTTGCTAGAGAGAAAAATGTGTACCTTCCCCAAAGCTAAAGTAACTTCTAGAATGACTTATCCCAAATCGGGATGTTGTCCAGATGTGTACACAATTCCTAGAATACTCAGGAATGAACAAGCTGGCCAAAGAATTCACATCTGGAGAAGAAAGCCTACGCTAAAGTAACTCCAAAGAGGCCTACCTCATTACAATTCTTAATGTGATAGAAATGTTTAACAGCCATTAAACATTTGTGGAACAATGTATTCATCTGAGCTTAAATGTAAACAGTGAGACGTATTCTGTGGCATGTCATTCAAAGTTAAAACATAGCCCTCACCCCCAAAAAGTGAATTACTCTTGGAGGATACAGATATTTGTCCATCTAAACCAGGGGTGGGGAACTATGGCCTTTTTACAATCTGTGGACTTCAACTCCCAGAATTCCTGAGCCAGCATGGCAATTCTGGGAGTTGAAGTTCACAGATCGTAAAAGGACCATAGTTCCCCACCCCTGATCTAAACAAACATAACTAACCTTGCTTAACAGAAATTTACCAGGACATCTTGCCAAGTTCTTTCCCATAATATGTCACCAGACTCTTTTCCCTGGGATATGAAAGCTGAAATCTTTTGCAATTAAGTTAATACTGTATTGACCCTACTTTTAAGACAAAAGTGTTCTTGTCTGACCTTTCTGACCTCTGCAACTGACATGTTTATAGCAGTCGTTCTCAACCTGTGGGTTGGGACCCCATTTGGGGTCGAATGACCATTTCACAGGGGTCGCCAAACAACGCAGTCCGCCATTTTTCTCCCCTTTTCCTTAGCTGTGCTACTCCCTTTTATTCTATTGGCTTTTGAAAGCCAATAGAATAGACTCTCTTGAATAGAGTCTAATTCTATTGGCTTTCAAAAGCCAATAGGAATTGTCCAGGCTGTCTCTGCCCTGCTAAGCCCGCCAAAAGTCCCATTCTGCAAACGGTGCCGCACCAGTTGAGTAGTCCTCGACTTACGACCGGTTGAATAGTCCTCGACTTACGACCGGTTGGGGGTTGTGGCATTAAAAAGGTTGAGAACCACTGGTTTATAGTGTATTCAGATGCAATATCAAATCATGGTTTCTTGTGATGAGCTCAGCCTCCAAATGGTCTCTCCTGTCTATTTTTTTTTTTTTTTTTTTGGGTAGTGTAGTTGCGAGAGGTTTCTGCTGACCTTTCCTGAGCCACAATCAAAAAGTCAGATGATCACTCTTTGTTCCTACCTGGCCTATCTCTCAAGGAAAAGACACAAACTGTTGGATTTGGCCATCACAATCTGCTTTGCATATCTTTAAAGGACAAAGTCACTGGTCCCACCTGCCTTCTCCTGATAAAAGAATAAGCAGCCTTTAAGAAACATATCTAAAA